GTGGGTGTGGGGGGGGGGGGGCGGACGGGACACGGTTGTGTTGGGGTGGCACTTCTTTTTAATAGTCCCATATTAAGACGTTTACTTCCAATGTTTGCTAACGACTCCTCTCCTCTCCCCTCCTCCCGAGTTTACGTTTGCTGGACTGTGAGTCGCATTTCTTTTTCGGAAAGTTAAACTTTTAGCAAGACCATTCTGATGCTGCTTTGCATTCGAAGGCAATAAATTCCAGAGCAAATGGCAAAGGCTATTCTATGATCTTTAGCTGATGTCTATAATTATAGTTAAATTACAGACCCTCTGTAGTCACAGCCATGGCAATAGAACGTGTTTGTGTCAACACACCCGCATATGCGTGCACACACACACACGCACACACACACGCGTGCAGCTCCCCGGATCGCACGTGTGTGTGTGTGTGAGCGTGTGTGTGAGCGTGTGTGAGCGTGTGTGCGCGCGTGTGTGTGTGCGTGTGTGCGCGCAGAGGCTCTCAGCACGCCGAGGGCAGACACTGCTCAGAGATTCACACGGGTGCTACCTACTCCACTTTCCCTAGGTCCACCTTAAAGCCTCTTCGTACCCCAGTTACCCCACCACCATAAGCACGCTGCACATCCGCATTTACAGCTGGTCAGGCAGGAGAAAAGGAAAAGAGGGACACACACACACACACACACACACACACAAAAAGCCTCCAGGAAACCAGAGCAGGCTCCCCCCCCGCCCCCCCTCCCCCCCCCCCCCATCCCTTGATTGTGCCTGCAAAAAGAGGCAGAATATACTAACCGCTCTTTCTGGTCTGAAATCACTGGGCCCTGTCCAATGCGATCGTTTTGTCTTTACTTCTACAGGTACAGTATATGGAACTCATGGGAGACGAGGGAGGCAAACTTACACCAGATACCAAACGCTAGAGTTAGAGAAGGAATTTCATTTTAACAGATACTTAACCCGAAGACGACGTATTGAGATTGCAAACGCTCTCTGCCTTACTGAACGCCAGATTAAAATATGGTTTCAAAACAGGCGGATGAAATGGAAAAAGGAAAACAAATTCATAAATTCCACACAGCCCAGCAGCGAAGAAACAGAGGAAAAGTCAGGGGAGTAGAACCACGTTTAATAAACGCTACCAGGCCTTTCCTTAGCGCTTACTATTACTATTATTATTTACCTTGTGTTCCTTCTGCTACAAAAATCCTATAGGTTTGTCACAGTCTATTAATTCCCCAAAGGCTTGGTTAAAAGATGTACATTTGCAATCATCTGTGGCTTGCTTTAATATATGTGGAAGTCCTAGCTTTCGAGCTACAGGCATGTATGTATATAACCACCTTTCCAAAGCATAGATGGCGTTGCTTAAAGTGTTAGAGAAATGGCCCAGATTTTTAAATATTTGAGGTGAGCATCTGTGTGTGGGTGAGTGTCCCTGGCGTGCCTGTGTGAGAAGAGATAAGCGAGTGATTTTTTTTTTTTTTTTTTAATTAGGAAGGTTCATATTGTAGAAATACGAGAGATTTTAGAAAATCCTGGGTTTATAGTTTTTTGCTAACTCCCGCTACGTCGGGCCGTGTCATTATGCTGTGTTTGGGAGCTTACAGTCTGCAGGGGAGAAAAAAAAGTTTTACACATGTATAAGATATTTAAATAGCAAAAAGAGGAAAAATCCTTTTAAAAAATCGTTGTATAAAACCCCGGGTATAAACTTGCAGTTAAAACGAAGATGAATTGCAGGGAGATTTTTTAAATGCCGCTGAACTGCTTAATCTGCACTACTAGTATTAAAGTAAAAACTCGGTGTTAAACTTCAGGGGAAGTGAGGGAAGAGGTTTCAGAGCGGGTGAATTTCTGTGGTTCCCGTTGAGCTTACGCTGAGGTTTCAGTGAGCTCAGCTCTACACTGAAGGGGCTTTGAATTATGGACTACATTTCTTGGGGCTTGGGTCGATCTTTCTTTCTTTTTTTTCCCCACTTTCCTTTTTTTTTTTTAATATTAAAAGAACAGTGTCTGTCACATTAACTCGGGGATCTTCTTCCCCGCTTTTGTGGTATCTTAATTCACATTCGCATTTCTTAGCACTGGAAAAAAAAAAAAAAAAAGATACTCTAAAGGAAAGTAGCTGCCAAAAAATGCTTCCACTTGGAGTTCTGTATAAGTAAAATAAGCGCAGCGAAAATATTGATTAATATATACGTTCTGTCTCTCTGTATTATATTGTGTGTGCGTGAGTGTGCGTGTGAAGCTGTGTACAAATACACTTGTATACGCATCCAGGCTCTTTTGTTCGGAAGGCAGCGCATTTTGGGCTACCGCGGTAGAGATTTTAAAAGCCAAATCTGGAAAGTACTAATGCAAAATGGCTACCGCCGCATTTAGAGTTTTGTTGTTTTGGGTTTTTGTCCGAGAGGCGGAAAAATAACGGCGGCCGTGAAGCCGCCTGGAATTTGAGCCCCTAGTTGGGCAAACGCTGCACGATATTTATCTTTCCTAGGTACCTGCCATTTCACATCGGCAGGACCCGGGTGCCTCTCGAAACCTCCGGCACGGGAAGAAGGCGGGGGGGGGTGGTGGGAATTACACGTGCATATACATATATATGCATATGTATACACGTAGAAGGGGCACAAGCGTGGCCGGCGTGCGAGGATGGGTCGCGCAGGATCTGTGACCTGGCGTGAATAAGCCTCGCCCGGAGGAGAAAGCGGGCACAAAGCGGAGCGCTGGCTGCACGCAGGGCTCCCCGGCGGCCGCGGCGGCGGCGCGCCCCGGGCCGCCCGCGCCCTCCCAGCTCCCCCACCAGTGCACGAGTTTACCTCTAGAGGTCATCAGGCAGGATTTACGACTGGACAACAAAAGCACGTGATGTGAAGCCGTACCCCATATTTGGGTGCCTACGTAGGAGGGAACCAAGTACATGTCCCAGTCATTTCCATAATTCATCATAAATTGTGCAAGGGTGCTATAGACGCACAAAACGACCAAGAGCCACAAATCAAGCACACATATCAAAAAACAAATGAGCTCTTATTTTGTAAACTCATTTTGCGGTCGCTATCCAAATGGCCCGGACTACCAGTTACATAATTATGGAGATCACAGCTCGGTGAGCGAGCAATACAGGGACTCCGCCAGCATGCACTCCGGCAGGTACGGATACGGCTACAATGGCATGGACCTCAGCGTCGGGCGCTCTGCTTCCACCCACTTTGGTGCCAATGAGAGACCCCGCAGTTACCCGGCCAACACCACCTCTGCCTCGACAGAGCCCAGGTACAACCAGCCCGCGACGTCTTCCCACTCGCCTCCCCCTGACCCTCTGCCCTGCACCGCCGTGGCCGGTTCGCCTGTCAGCGAGAGTCACCACGGGGTGAAAAACTCCCTCGCCAACTCCACCAGCACTTCGTCCAATTCCAGCAGCAACACGCACATCAGCAGGGACGGGGTTGGCACCTCGTCTGGGACTGAGGAAGACACTCCAGCGAGCAGCGAGCAGGCAAGTGCCCCGACCGACCAAAGCACAGCCCAGCCTTCACAGCCCCAGATCTACCCCTGGATGCGAAAACTGCACATAAGTCATGGTAAAGCAAATACCCTCTTCTTTCTTTTATTTCTCTGGAGGAAAAGGAGGGTTTAATGGAAACCGGGTGGCTGCGCCGAGCAAGGTCGGGGAGAGGGGGAGAGGAGGGCGTGCGAGCGGGCAGCCGCCGCGCACGGCGCAACTCTGCTCGCAGGGAAGCACGCTCCCTTCTCCGGGCGAGTCCCCCCCGAAAGCAAAAACCGCCCGGCCCCCAAAACACAGCCCGCCCGGCTCCCAGCGCCGGCCCCGGCGGGCAGCGGGGGAGCAGAAAGCGCCTTCCCGAAGGGGGATCGGGAGCAGAGGCTGCTCCCGGCTCTCCTCTGCGAGGGGGATCCTCCAGTGGGAACGGCGCGGCTGAGCCCATTTATTTTGCCGAGCCGTATTAAAAAGAGAATAGGAGAGGGCGAGGAGGGCAGTTTTCACTGGCCGGGGGGGGGGGGGGGGGGGGGGGGGGGGGAGGCGAGTCGCCCCAAACTCCGGGGAGAGGGCTTGAGGGGCGCGGGGAAGCGGAGCAACTTTCAGCCCCCTGTACCTGCCCTGCCCTCGCTGCTGGGGGAGCAGCCGGGGGCTCGCTGCCTCCCAGAGCCTTCCCCAGCTCAGCCGTGGGAAAGGGCTGCACGCTTCAGCTTTGCTCTCCCAGCGCTCAAAACCCAGCTAACAGCAGAGGCATCCTCCAAACCAGCTTCTCTGGGGGAGGCGGGGGGGGGGGGGGGCGGCCTCCAAAAAAAAAAAAAAATTCAATTTAAAAAATCGAACCCCAAATCCAAGCGAAAACTTACCGAGATCACCAAATCCCCCTCCCCCAAGCCTTTCCTAAAAGGGGCTGGAGGGAGAAACTTGTTGAGCGTTTATCCAAACCAGAAACAAAACCAAGCAGGACTGAGAATAACGGTCCTGGTCGCTGGTAGCTGCAATAAGACACGAAGGCTCCGAGTGGCTGCTGAGAATCTAAATCATGTACTTTTCTCTTCCAGACAACATAGGGGGACCAGAAGGGAAAAGGGCTCGGACTGCTTACACCCGCTATCAGACCTTGGAGCTGGAAAAGGAATTTCACTTCAATAGATACCTGACCCGCAGAAGAAGGATTGAAATAGCACATGCTCTTTGCCTCTCAGAGAGACAAATAAAGATCTGGTTCCAAAACAGGAGAATGAAATGGAAAAAGGATAATAAGCTGAAAAGTATGAGCATGGCAGCTGCAGGAGGGGCATTCCGTCCCTAAGCGTTTGATCAATTAAAAGTACTGAGCAGTATTAGCTGACCCTGCGTCTCATGTCAGTACTAAGTTGACTTTCTAAAACTTCCTTGTGTTACTTCTGTGAAGAAACCCTGTTCTTGTCGCCCTTATTCATCTTTTAATCATGAGCCTGTTTATTACCATTCTCTCGCGTGTATAAGTAGATCTGCTTTTATCGTACATTTCTTTGTCTTGAATGGCTTTGTCTTGAAAAAAATAATAGATGTTTTAACTTATTTATATGAAGCGAGCTGTGTTACTTGAAGTAACTGTTAAAACAAAACAAAACTGAACAAAAAAGGACAAAAAAAAAAGAAGGTAAAAAAAAAGGAGAGAGAGAAAGAAACCCTCCCCCGGTTTAGTACAAATGTTATGTGTTGCACTCAACCTGCTTAACTGTGCATGTGTGGTCAAGTGTTAATGTCTGTATAGCTCCAAGCTGTTAAAAATATTTTTATTCAAACTACCTATATAATTCCTGTGTAATTAATGCTGTTGTAGAGGTGAAATGATGAAATCAACTGAACTTGTCCTACGTGTAGTGAATAGTGAATCTGTGACGAAAACTGTGATTCCAAGCAGTATGTCCTTGCTGTGCCTTTGTATATGACTCTTTGCACGAACTCTTAGAAGTGGCTCTTATTAAGCGCAGCTTCTGTGATGTATGTTTTTTGTGAACAAAGTTACAAATATAGTCAAAGTCTGGCTGTTTGAGCAAACTGTGATCAGCTTTTTTTTTTTTTTGTATTTGTTTTTAAAAAAAAACTGACTGGAAATCAACAAAAAAAATAAACTTTCTATTGTAAAGTTTTCGTGACCTGGTTTGTGCAAAGCAAGAAGTTGTGCTTCCTGATTTGCCTCTGAAAAAACATTAACCCGTGCAGAGTTTTTAATAATATTTTACCTGGCTCCTGCTGCACGTTGCAAATGGTAGATGCTGCGATTGTCCGCTACCAGTATTTTTAATTGAAAGTTTGACCGTAAGTTCCTCCTTACTGGTTTCTCACTAGGTGCAAAGCTGCATCGCAGGACCACAATCAACACCCTTTGTGGGTGAATCAACTGTTAGTTGTTTGCTGATGGTTGGGAAAAAAAAAAAAAAAAAAAAAAAAAAGTGCTTTGTTAAAACACGCTGCTAACTCCAAGACGTGTTTGCATCGCTCTAGAATTTCTCCTGTGGTTTCATTAAGTATATTTGCAGGACAGCCACGTCCGAGCCCTCTGTGTCTATTAGTAACCCTCGCTAGCCACATTCCCACTTTTCAGCCTTTAAAGATTTTTGGGTTTCTTCGCTACGATTAGTTTGCTATAAACGTAATGTTACTTACCCCATCAGAGCTTGAATGGTTAACTCTTCTGAGCTTCTAAGAGCAACTAAAGATTTGCACATTTACTCACTGGTTACATTGATGCCTTCCCTTAAAAGTTATAAAACAGTAAACTTTATAAGCCCCAGTTCCGGCTATATGACATTTGGGTGCCAAATGAATAGGGTTTTGTCTATGAATTAGATCGTAAAATCATCCATAGCACAGACAGATAGGCTCACTGGCTATAAAAAGTCACGTGGTGCCATTAAAGTAAGTTTTATGGTTTTGGGGAGTTGACATCCAACATTATATACCACATAACATATAATCTCACTGACGCTGGACTTCATTTGACTCTTTTGCAGGCTACGTGTGCCTCCTGGCCATTCAAATTGTCAGGTTTAGGGACAGAAGTATCCAAACCACAAGTTCTCAATACTGTATGAAAAATGGCTCCTTGCAAGTCAAAGGTAAGTTTTGTGCACAAGTTCCTTAAAGTTTATTTGTACAGTGGGGAAGCTGAGGCTCCCGCTCGCTCTCGCTGCCTCTCGCCTCTCTCTTTCTTTCTCTTTCTCTTTCCCTTCCTCTCCGCCTGGAGCTTTTCAGGACGGTCCCACCGAGCCCAAGAGGCAGGATCAACCCCTAATGATCCAGGTTGCGCTGCAAATCCCCCCATCCCTTCACTCGTAGCAGCTAGCTCTCTATTTTAACGATCAAATCAAAGTAAACCACAATAAGCGACTTTGGCAGAGATGGATTTTGGGGCCTAGCTTTAATCACTTTGACTACCGCAGAAGATAATTACTTCCTTTGCTCCAATAGACTCTTCAAGTTTGGAGAGGTTTTGTTTAGCAAAGAGTAGTTACTGCAGGCGATTAAAAAAAGGAGAAACAAAATAGATAGGGCTTGATATTATCTGGGCAGTGTCTTATGTAGGCATGATAGAGTTGGAGGCGTGCTGATATGGTAATAATCTTTGGATTGGTGAAATATGTCGCACATCAGAGCTAGTAGTAAAATGGCACAGATTGTACTGCAGCGCTTAAGATTCCTATATTCTGCATCGGGTTGTGCAGAAAGCTTTAGCTATGTATATAGGTCCATCTGCGAGCGCGTAGTGTGTTTCGGGGATGCGCATTTATAACGTTGCTGTAACTTTTTCCAGATCCTATATGTAACTGCATAAATATAAATATATTTAAATTATGTGTGTGTGCATGCATGTACAAATCGATGTATATGCCTGCATAAAGCCGTGCACATGCATACGTGTGTCTAATATTGGTGTATTTATGTATACAAAGGGTGTGTACGCGTGTATAGATATATATGTTCCTGTGACTTTTTTTTTTTTAAAGCGAACCAATTGACTGTAACTTGTAGCATTAATACAGGAGACTACAGGTCATTAGAGTGCTGCAAATTATGAAATACGGGTTTGGTTTATTGAAGATTGTAAATATCCCCCTAGCTCTGCTCTCTCCCTCTCTGCCTTATATTGCTGGCTGCCATTGTGGGGTAGGCCCCAGCTGCGTGTTTACTTCAACATTCTTTTTATTTAAGTGGACTGTTCTCACTAGAGTGTGATTACTCAGCAATAAACTTTATGGCCGGATTTCACTTTAGTCTTTGAATTTCCAGGACTTGAATGAAAGGGTGAAAGGAACTCTTGTCTTTCTCTTGGTAGCATTAAGGCCTGATCCTTACCCTCAGAGCTGTTACTTAGGCGAGTGATCTTGGGGGGTGCAGACCGACTAGTTGGGGGCTAGGGAAGAGATTTGAGAATTGCCTCCAAAAAAAATACACACACACACACACACACACACATATAAAATCTCCAAACCGGCTGTGAGTATCTCTTTCTTTGCTCAGGTTTGGAGTAGTAGGGATACAGCAGACTGCATTGTTTTCCTTCATGTGTCATAAAGTCGGGTTTGCAAAAGAATGGGGTGGTTTGATACAAGCTGGGAGATGGGCTTTGTTTTATTTCGCTAGTGCTATCCCGTTTGAATATTGTGGTTTAGGCTGTATCTGTTACTGTGAGCAAAAATAAGAGAAAGACACAGTGGTACAGGAGGGTAAGGTTGTTGTGTACCTCTGCAAGGTCTGCACATTGCCGATTGATCCCTATTTTTAATTCATTTGCCTTTAATGTTAAAGAAACGGTAATATGTAAGGTTGACTCAGCTCAAAGATCTCACAGTTTTACAAATATTTAACATTTAGAGTCAACCCCCTGTGTAAGATAAATGGAGTCCGAAGCCTTTGTGTCTCTGTATCCTTCCTATGAACATTAAACAAACACATATGCATGTACTTTATATTAAAAAAAAAATGGGAAAGGCTTTAAAAGTGCATATCCAAACGCACATTTGAAAATCATTTCCGTAATAAACAGCTGGAGATTTTATAGTACACTAGCTGTCACATTTTCGTCAACAGGAATACCAGAAAGTTATATATGATAGGCATGTATTATATTATATTATATGCTATAAAATTTTATAGTTTGAGGCAAAGGCATGAAAACCCTTTAAAAGTTTGGGCTTCATTTATATATGGGTGCTTTTCCAAGGAAAATCCTTCTCTTGTAAACGGGAATGATACTAGACACAAACCATTCACAATTACTCAATATTCAACAACACCGCGTTATTTGAATTATCTGGTTAATATACAAACACGCACAACCATTTGACTAATATTTTAGGAACCTGGATATCATCGCGGATTGTAATTTTTCATTGTCTACAGCGAAAAGGTTTGCTACTACATATTTTCACATTTTTTAATGTGGCTTCTGGAGCATTTTCCACGTAAAGCAGTGCACAGAGATTCAGGAACTATGGAAAAGAAAAACATCCCCCAACCCACAAGCATATAAACCGCCCGTACTGCAAGAAACTCTTACAACAAAAGAAAGTTAGCTAGAAATGACAACTTCTCCATATTTGTGGCCCTGCCCTGTCCTAAGCAGGACAGTTGAAGCCATTCAAATCCAGAAGTGCATAAAGATTTTCTGATCCGCTTTGAAATTTGAAATTCAAACAACCCCAGACTGCCGAACTCTACCAAAATATTCCCAGGTTCTAATTGTTTTCCGAGGGAAAATGTCATGGAGAATAATCGCTGGGAATCAGGAGAGAGGTCTTATCTGCGCACATTATTTTTTCTGCTGTGTTTGGGGGATTAATGCGTGCGAGTTTGTTTTACTTTAGGCATGGCAAGTGGCGTTCTGCGCATTGAAATACAGTTTACCTAATCGTTTGAAAGGAATACTTGAGTGTAGTGTGTCATGTCTAAGCGTAAGGCCAATTAAAGATCAGGCAACTCTCTTAATGTGTGTAAGCAGTGACTTTGCAAGGCATAACTTTCTCTAAACCAGAAGTGTAACAATCCGATGGAAAGTCATCCGTAAATTACAGCTCTGCAGCCTTGTCTAAACCCTGCAAACGCCCTAATTGCAGAACATTACGGGGAAATTATTATTCTGCCATTTCCTTACATTTAATAAGAGTGTATCTGTGGAAGGGTGACAATAGAGTGGTTTGCAATCTGCTCCATGGGAAATTGAATGGAACAGATCATGAGAGGCGGATCAGGAGGTTTCGATTTCAAACTCTGGATACTGGAGCAATGCCTTTTCCCTCCCCGCAAATACAGATTTAACGCATTAAATGCAGACATAAGTAAATCTCCTGACGAAGTTAAGGCAATCGCTTTGCTTTCTTAGCTCTTTCTCTTTCCTGCCCTTAAAATCTCCCCGATTTGTTGCAAGAGTTGCTAGCCAGAGTGCAGAAACACAGCTCCCACAGCCGCCTGCTCATCTCTGAAAATATTATCCCTTTCAAATTAAAGCATCCTCACTAATGTCTCTCTGGAAGGCAAATACTCATGGACCATCACAGTCACATGTTCCTGTAGCTACACGCACAAACAATATCAAATCTGACATAGAGAGCGTGTAAAATTTACAAGG